CAGAAGAAGGTAGGGAAATAGACTTGTACCTGGGGAAAACAGAGCTTTTTTTGAAAAAAATAAACCAATTCAGATTCTGTGCCAATTCCTGCCCTTTCCATAGGTTTACCTGTGCAGGGTGCAAAGAAAGCAGAGTCTGGCCCCAAGGGAGTTCAGATGCAGCAGACTGATCTACCAGCAGGCTACAATATGTTCCCAGAAGGTGCAATATAATTCTGAGGCCAAGGAACAGCCTATTAGCTCTGCATGCCATTAATTTTTATGAATAGTTCAATCCAATGCTCAGAGAAGCTGTTGGGCATCTTTCCATTTTGTCTAGCAGGACCTGGATTAGGGCTTATTTATCTTTCCATTATATACCTTATCTTTAAGGAGGAAGAAGCCCAAACAGTTCAGTGCAGCTGTGCAGGTTTCAAGCCCTCCACCAGGCTCTGTGCCCAGCAGCACGCAAGATGCTGTCTGCAGGTCAGAGCGAAGGCATGCCACAGTCAAAGCCACTCGTGGAGAATTAAACTTCAGGCTTGTTTGACTAAACTTCTGAATTCACCACAGTTCCCCTGTTTTGCCAGCCTGAAGAAGCAGCCCAGCAGGTTCTGAGTCACATGCCTCCTTCATCCTCCCTGGAACTGGAAATGATTACTAATAGGTATTCTTGCTGAAATGATTTTTTTCTCTCTCTGCATGCCTGAACGCCGGAGGGGAAGGAGGACAGCATGAACCGATTTCTTTTGCTGGCTTCTGCGTTTTACAAAATCTCTAAGTTACTGAAGAATTCACCTTAGGAAGTTTCACCCAGGCTCATTACAAGAGGTCCATGATGCAGGTCTGGCAGGCAGCCAGGGGATGGAGACACAGGGGTTTGGGTTAACCTCCCTCATTCACACTTTCAGTGGTTTTTTTACAGTATTTTCAGTGCTCTCCAGCCTAGGTTGAGAACTTAAGACAGGAGAGGAAATGAGGTGGGCATGAAAGCAAAGCTGGCAAGGGGATGGGCACTCTTTGCCCTGCATGCACAGCCCTGGCTGTGCATCACTGCTGCAGCTGCATCCACCAGGTGAAACACAGAGTTTGGGAAGGAACAGGGGTCTGCACTACAACACACATCACTGCATGCCAGGGATGCCCAGGGTTTTGCTGAGAGGCCAGGCTGCCCTCACCCATCCAAACCTGTCAGCCTCAAAATTAACTTATTGAGGTCAGTACTCATAACAGCGGTATTGTGGACTTTTGATTCAGTCTTCCTTTCTGAGAAAGCCCCACACTCTCTGGCCCGGTCCAGCTATTACCTGCCAACCTAAAGGATGATGAATGTTATTTATATTGCGGTAATGGCTAACCACTCAGTGGAGACCAGGGACAGGCTGTGCTATGGACTTTTCAAACACACACTGAATGAGGACTGCCCACAGACAGCTGAGCGTATGAAACTGCTGAGACATTTCAGGATAATGCTCTTGAACGCCTTGGACACGATGACCCCCAGCAACTCTGCAGCACTTGTGCTGACTGCAACAACACAGGGCACCATTCTACAGTAAAGATGTTCATTAATACCGAATTCTTATCAGTTACTGTGAACATGCCCTTACAATAGCAAAAACCTCATCTACTTCAAAGCAGGCAACTCCTTGGGAGGAAGACCTTTAAGTTCCTTGCCTAAGAAATGTGAAAGTATTAATCTATTTCAAAATGAACAGAAAACATAGAGGAATACAGAGGTATTCTGATTAAAAGTTTTCCTAATATTTAGATCTTATAGTTTTGCTGTCCAAGAAAAAAAGTGAATCAATGAGTAAAGAACTACTCAAGGTGTAGATGAGAAAAATAATCCAGCAGTAGTAATACATGAAGGGCCAGATCCTTTTAAAAAGTCTGTAAAACCAATTTAACTCTGACAGGTGCACACTTGTGGGATTAGACTTCAAATAATAGCAGGAAAATTTAAGAACTGAAAAATTATACCTTTAGCTTTTCACTGTGGTGAGCCCGAGGGTGGATAGCTAACACTCCCTGGGAAACATCCTCCCAAGAAATAGCCCCACAAAGATGCAGAGGAAATAGATCTAAAACATTCAATGCAGATTTTTTTTTTTCATTATTAATCATTCTCTCTGTATCTCAGGAAAATCATGCAGTGACTTCTTTCATATACACTGAGGTACAGAAATCTAAAATATTAAGTGACATATTCCACTGAGAAAAGCCGTAGAGAAGGTGCTGTGGAATAGGTGTTGGTCCCTCTCATATCTGTTCTACAATAAATGTTCTATCTATTGAAGTTCTAAAAATATATCCAGAAACCAGCAGACATTAGTGTCCATCAGCAACCTTATTAAAACAAAATGCTAAAGATATACCTCACCTTTAAGTACACTTGTTACACCTAAAAGTTGCTTTAGACAAGGCTGTGTCAGAGCTTCATAGCCAAAAAAGCCTGAAGGTAGCAGAGCCCAGTAAACAGACTAAGCAGGCATCAACCTGATCTGCTTTTTTTCTGTATTTTCAGTCAGATGAGTGGTCACTCCGAAACTGAACAGGAGAAATAAAGCACGCCATAAGAGACTGCAAGTACTTTCTAGCTGTCTCAACTCTAGAAGTCTCCTAAGAGGACTGATGTCTCAACATTTGGGCATTCCCTTCACTGTCAAACACTCACAGAGCAATGGGATTTGTCAGCAATCTGCTGAGCATATACAGATGACAACTGCAGAGCTTGGAGAGCTCCAAGGCATTTACAGATAGATAGGGGTTTGCGATAGATGTGTTGGACCAGAGCTGAGATCCAGAATCTGTGAAAATTACACCCAATAGCTGTAAAGCCTTTAGCTGCGGTAGTTAAACCAGGCACCATAATATGCCAAATTTAGCCTGGGTATGCTTTACAATTACACAAATTGTTTAAGGGAGGCTGATCAGCCTCCATGTCACATACTACAAGGAAAAGGCTATTGGTATGATTCTGGAAGGTCGTCTTTGCTGCCTAAACTATAACTCCATCTATCACTCAAATATATGGAAACGAAGCATCATTTATAAAGAGGTTTTGGATTGTCCCAAGTACAAATTTCATGGACAATGGATTTAAAGCTCTCTCCAGCACCTATGTCTCACCTAATAGTACTCTGTCCCTCGTAGATTTTCAGCCTGTTGCCCCACTATGATCTACATATCTTCCTAAATCTTTTAAAAGATCTTCTTGACAAAGGGGTATGTTTCATTGGTACAACACAGAGAGGCATTATATAAAAAGATTTTTGCCTAACTGACATAAGCACGACATGATTTCCAAAGTCAGCTGTATTTTCAATAATTTGTTCATTTTGTGTTTTTTCAAAATAGATTTATCCACTAAAGATAGCATACTGCTTAAGCCCCTCCATCCTCCAATCCAGCCAGCGATAGAACTTTGCATCAAATTTTTTATAGCATCAGATATGGGTTTTTTTCCCGGCATCCTAAAAAAAATGTAATCTTTATCAGCTACAGTCTGTACAAAAGCGTAAGTTGGCTCTGTGGTGTTCAAGAATAGCTGGTTAGACTCTGAGGCTATACATTCTTCTGCTAAAAGATATATTATCACATCTGTGTCTAAATATTTTTTGCTTCCCATGTCTGCTAAAAGCAACACCTACAGTTGCTGTAACTGAAAATGACAAGACAAAAATATTTTTCACCGATTTGTCACCATTTTTCATTTAGCAACACTAAATGTATACTCCAGTTCGTTAACAGAGTTTTGCCTGTTTGTATTTACATATAACAAGGGAGAAATAAATGTGTTAAAAAAGAAGAAAATGGAACTGTAAATACGACAAAAGTGGAAACAGAGTTTGTGGGTTGGTGTGCCATCTAAAAACACTTAACACATTTTAAATGGAAAAAATGTTAACTTTCAAGTTGCCTCACTTAACTGTTTTTAACTATAGCAGCACATAAGATGGTCATCATGTATTTTAATTTGATCTCCTGGCTCAGCAGCCTTATTATAAGGTTTTACCCTTATTAGTGGGGTTCTCAGTCTCTATGCTTCATGTAACTGGTCAATAATGAACTTTTTCCACCACTTTTGCCTAGTTAAGTCATTGGAAAACTTTAAAATACGCTACCTTTTTTTGCGAGTAGGGAGTTGTCATCATGTATATATCACAAAGGAAAAAATACAAAAGCAGAAAATGTCATGAATTCTCCTTCAAGCAGATGGTATTGCAGTAGAACTGAACACGTTTATATTAATTACTTTCAGAAAGAGAAGGAGATGTCATATCTGAGATAGAGGATCCTACCAAACCCACCAAGAAGCATCCGTAAATCTAACAATAGTGAGATTTTTTCATTAACTCATTGTGACAGCTGTCAAGCTGGTGAAAACTTTTTGTTAATGCCAGTACAATTGTTCATTTAAACAAAAGCCAGTAATTCAGTCACACTGGAATAGCTTATGTCCCCAGATCTGCCATACAATCTGCGCACATGCATATATTACATCTATATGCATAGTTGCTCTTTAATTTTTATCTTTGGGGCTACAATGTGATTTGTCCAGAGCATGAGCAGAGCTCTGCATAAAGCTGGCCAGAAGGCAATTTGTGATTGAGTTGTAATGAGCTGCTTGTGTTTTCCCTTGTTGGAAGGGGGAGATTTGGCACCCCAGGCTGGCAGCTGGGGCAGGACATGTTCCCCGCATGCCAGGCTAACCGCGTGGTCACCTTTTTCCCTCAAAGTAAGAAAACACAATTATTGGTAGAGATGTCACCTCACTCTTTGTGTGGTGACAGACTGAAGTACAAAAGACGTCCCTTGGGGCCCTGTGTGACCACAGCTTGACCCAGAGCTCACAAGGAAATCCCAGTGTAGGGCTTGGTGCTATCACAGGCTCTTTGCAACCAATAAAGATGCAGAGATCCCATTAACTACCTCCGCTCAAGGCAGGGCCTGTATCATTGAGGTGATTTTCTAACAGCAAAGCCAACTCTGAACAAGAAATGGAGTGCAGCCCTTACCTCCTCGTAGACATCATCATTTCTGCTGAAGTCTCCGGCCCTCCTTGGAAGGACATGGACATGAACGTGCTGAAAAAGTGAAACAAAATAAGGGTGATTATCAAGCTCATGACTTTCTTTTCTGGATTGTCAGCATTATTCTCCACACATACAAGTAACCGTGCACGGGCTCCCACAGCATTATTTTCAGAGGAAAATACATTAACCTGTTCCATAACTGTATCTCAACTCTTTGGAGACTATAAAAGATGAAAAACATGAGAGAGCAGCTCGCTGTATTATATGAGCTTCAGAGTGAAATGCCTGGAAGTTTAGGGGCTCTATGGAATTATTCATAGTTGTCAGTCAGAGACGTATTTAGCCACAGCTTTGAAATGACAATGTACCTCGGAGCTGCCTGTTGTGACTTCAAAACTGACAAGAACAAGAAGATGCCGGTGATGGGACGCAGCTGTAGCAGGCATGGGCAGAGGGCTCAGTGCTGCGCTGCACAGGCGGGGGGGTAGGGGAACTGGTGGTACCTAACAGAGACCATGCAGGTAGAAAGGCTGTCAGAAAAGGACATGCATTAGGCTGTTCAGCACAGCTAATGCAATGTTTTTCACAGTTAAAAAGACTTTAATGTTTTGCTTTTCCTCCCAGGAGGTTACAGCCCAAATATACTGAAGAGTGAAGGCCCCAGTGCTATGAGGTACATGCTTAGGGGCACATGCCTGCAGGGACATGGGCTCTGTGCATCAAGTGGCCCCAAACCTACAAGGCACAAGAATTATGAGCCCAGTTTTGCAGAGCCTGAAGCATAAGCATCACTCTCCTGACCACAGGGCCATCGTTTGGCAGGTAGCAGAGCTGAGGACTGTACGCTGCACAGCCAGCTTTGAGCTACCCGGTATGGGAGGGAGGTGAGGGGCAATGTATTTTTGTCACAAAGGCTGATGAGATATTGGGAAAAGGAACAAAAATATGGACAAGAAAGCAAATATATGACTTGCCACCTTGCCAACTTGATGTTGGATTATTACTATTACTACAGGTTTTTTTCTCTTAAGAGATTGTGACAGTCTCTTTATACCATATAGGAAGGGTAATTCAAGATTCCCAAGACTCAAACTCTACTAGGAAATCAAACAAATGCTCATCTATCTGCTTTTCTGCAGTAAGTTCAGCTACAGCATTGCAAGGCATTCTTTTATCTTTTCCCCTTTCTTTTTCACTCTCTTTTGAGAAAAAAAAAAGAAAATAATTCTTCAGGAAAAAAGACCCAACACCTCATTGAGGAGAGGCAGAAAATTATCTGAGTGACAGATCACATTTATGCATCTCCAGATCTTTTTAGATGGTGCCTAAATCCTTTTTTTAAAAAAGGGCTGCATTAGAAACAGCATCAAATGCTTTACATAGAATTTAGATAGCTTGCACCTGACTCAATTTGATGAGGTAGAAATCAGCTGAAATTCATTCACCTCACTGAAACATTCTCAAAACCTGGCTCAAGTCTATAATGAAATCCAAAATCAAAAAAGATTTTCTTAGGCTATCTGTAAGAAAATTCAAACACATCTATATTGTATTAGCTTCAATCCATAAAAACATTTGCTCAGTGAATAAAATGAAATCAAAGGGATGTTTCAGTTAATGAAATATTCCAAATACCACTCTCTTTTTTTCGCAGCTTACCCTAGAGAAACTGAATATGCGATTGCTTATTCTTATCATTATCCACCACTTTCAGTGTATTCAGCCTAGAGATGACGATGATTCTTGAGGGTTAAAAACTGTGGTTTTGAGTAATACATCAGTGATAGTGTTCTGATAGTGTATTATACTAATATATCATGAGAGTGATAGTGCTCTTGTGATGTATTAGTGCAATGTATCATCTGAACATCACTGCTCTCATGATGTATTGCTCAAAATCACAAGGCAAGTTTAAAGATGGTCTTCAGTAGCCCTAGGCCTGAAATTTTGCTTTTGGATACAAATACAGACTTTCAAGAAAAATAATAGTGAAAATTAAAGTTTTCAGTGGTAGTGTAAAATTTCACTAGTGTGTTACACATGTGGTTCTCATTAGATTTTAAATTTATTCTTAAAAATAGAGAATAATCTGCCGGTTTCTTTCTCTTCTGCTACAAGGAGTGATAGTTTTGCTACAAATACCAATTTTCAGGAATTTCTCTTGATGATATATATACAACCTAATATCAGCTATCAACAACCATATCGCCCAAAAGTTCAGCCACCTTTAAGATTAATTTTTATCTCTGTGGCAGAATGGTCCAGGATGCACACAGGAGAAGATCTGTATACCCACGACAGACAATTTGGAATATCAGAAAGCATACAGGGATGTAGTCCAAAACTCAGTGCAGAGATGCTGCACTGCAGATGCACAGACCAGCACAGCAGGTAATAAATGAGCCTAATGTGATCTTCTACTCAAAATGGGCTCTTGCGACCAGTGTGAAAAAAAGAAGAAAAAGTGTTTATGAGAGCACATGGGCCACTTGGCATCAGTGGGAACATTCTCAGGGGTTAGTCACCTTTACTACATGCATTATGTTCTTACACAATGCCAGGCTGCATAGCAAAATCCATCAACTGTATCAGAAAACAAATGAGTATTTCCAAGGTTTGAGGTAGCTGCAATCAATTTAAGAGGAAGTAATTTTTTCCGGACATCCCAATTTATTTATTTTTTTTTAAATTCTGTGCATGGAACATAAATAAATATCTGGGTTCTCCCTACTGTTTCTGTCATAGAAACGAACAGGATTGGCAATAGTGTCTCAAGTAGTTTCCTTCTCTTCAGCTTTACTGAGAAAACACAGGAAAATACAAACAGCACAGAGCAGTGGCTACCACGTAGTGAAAAACACCAAACAAAGGGATTTCACACCTTCTCTAATCTGCCTTTCAGCTTCTGCCCTTCCCAACTCGGGGAGGTTGATATTTTCATTCATTAGGAGTTCTTTAATTGATCATTTTTGCTCCTTAGTGCTATTTGTTAGTGCGAAAGCCTCAATCCACCAAGGCACTTAAGCACCAGCTCAATTTCCAACCTGTGAATTGGTTCAGTGGGAGTATTCGCATCCCGGATATTATGTATATGTCTCAATGTTTTGCTTCTGCTGCTGGCTACGAGGAGGTGTCCCCAACTGGAGGCAGCAGAAATAACTTCAAGGTGCCTGCAAATTAAAGCTTCTTCCTTCCATTTTGTTTTCCAGGCAAAACAAAAACCTGCATGTCCAAAAAAGACATTTGCAGTTGACTGAAACGTGTCAGTAGATACAAACAAAACATTTGGCTGCTTTTTTTAACCAAACAAACAGATTTAGACAAATCTTCCCTCAAAACACTGCTTGGAGACAAAAAATCCAAACTGTGTATACAAAATGTCAAAATAAAGTGTTTCAACTTTTTCCACAGTTATTGTGGTTATCCTCATGTCTGGTGGGTGGCAGACAGCCCCATCACATTCTAGCAGGCTGTATTCAATCACTGATTGTATTTCATTTTTTTCCTAAAAAATTGCTTTCCCCTCATTTTGCATTATTTTGATTAATAAGCAAGAAAAGCAACATACAACAGCCAAGACATTTACATTAATGGACTGATCAATATCACCCGCATCAGGTAAGAAAAAATGCAGACACACGCTTGCACTGCTTCGAGTGTTAGCTACCATTCCCTCTTCGTGTTAGACACTGATGGAGAAAGCTGTGCGTGATTGCAGGATACAGGCACACACTGGGTATGACAACATGAGGATACAGCAATATGTCCCCACCTAGGACCCCACCATGTGGGTCAGACGCCCGAGCCCGAGTTACTTCTGATACTGGGGACAAGGTTTCCTTGCCAGGGATGTCCAGGGCAGCACCAGCTGGAAGGAGGCTGTGGGAGCTGAACTCTATAGCAGGTTCAAAATTAAAATTATTAGACTGACAGTTTTGTAGGGCTGAGACTGTAGCTTCCTCTGTTTTCACAGTGGCTACCACATTATAAATGAAATGTCAGTTTGAGACACTCCTAATGAAGAGAATTACCAAGTGACGCAAAATCACTCTTGAGAGAAGTTTTTTCAAGACCTTTAAACCATGAATGGCAGGAGAACTACAAGGAACAAATCCGTGGTGCCACAAGGAAATCATGAGCCAGAGCCAGCCTGTGCCATCTCTCAGCTCCCATGGCGGTGAGCGGATCCTCCACTCAAGCCCCACCGTGTTTCCAACATGACTGTGGGAGCATGGGGCTGCTGACAGGGACTCCAGAGCGTGCTCATCCCACCACTGCTGAAATCTGGCAGCAGCACAGGCATTTGTGAGATTATACATCTAAAGTTGATTTTCAGTGAACCAGGACTGCAAAATGCTCACAAAAGTCTCAGCCAAAAAACCTGGAGCCTGTTTTGTTGGAAAAATACCCATTCAAGGTCAGGTGAGTTTTGTTTCAGCACTCAAGGCCATGCAGAAAGCAATATTCCTGGTTACTGCTGTTTTTATATACTGAATTATGGTCGAATAATCAATGTGTCACCACTACACTGCATGTAAAGTGAAAATACTAGGCAAAAATAGACACTGAAAGAGATTTCCTGGGTCAACCAGAATAGTGAAGAGCAGATGACCCTGCCACACACCACTGGGGAGGACATGGACATTGCCTGCAATAATTCATGAACACTGTGTTGTGTTCGCTCAGCTGCTGTGCTGGTTAGCAGAGCAACAAAGCTCAGCTTCCAACAGAAAGGGGGATAATAGCCTGTACAAGAGCTCCTCAGCACGCACCCAAGGTCTATTAGCAATAAATGTTGCTATAGGATGAACATATAAAAACTGGAAATGGGTCATGCATCCTTGAGGACAGGGGGACTGCCAAAAAGTTGGCAGAGGAAGGGCTGTTCCCCCCACCTGCAAAAGCAGTATGTGGCTGAGCTGTGCCTTCATGCAGCGAAACCAGATGCCTTTCAGCAGCTTAATCCTTTCCCTCGTTTCTTCTCATTCTTTCTACAAAGTTTTGCAGCCATGGGCTTCCACAGTCTCATGGTGCAGCAAGACCAGGAAAGG